TCTGAAGCAACATTTTCTCACCCTCTGCAAAAAAGTTCTGTATGAATCCATTAATAAACACATTTGTCGACCGGTATCTCTTCATTTTTTTGAGACTTAAATAAAGTGTTTCGGAAATTTCTGAAACATCATTTGACGCCGTCACTTTCAAATTTCTGAAGGAGCGATTACAAAAGACATGGGGTTCTTGAGATTTCAGTTAAGTTAAAAAAAGGCTCAACGCAAGTTATTTCAGCCGAAGGTGGAATTTAACCGTCAGAAGTGACCCTTAATGATTAAAATTCAGACGAAATTTTCATATTCGGCAAGCATTTAAAACAAGTCTCAATTTTCAGCTGAATATTTTTCGGTTTAGAATATCTTAGTTAACTTTAGAACGTGTTTAATTTGGCCATGCCATAAGATAAAAAAATAAAAAAATAAATAATAATAATAATAATAATAATAATCCGAGGAAAGGTCTATTGCTCCGCCATGAGTGAAGTGAACTCACTGAAGTAAAGACTGTTTTTTTGTATGTCGGAAAATTCCCAGACGATCGGGGATTTTTCTTTTTGCCGACCATCTCAGATTCTGCCTATATATCGGATAAAGCCTGTTTTTCATATGTCGGGAAAATCCCAGACGATCGGGGATTTTACTTTTTCTCGACCATCCCAGATTTTGCCTATATACCGGATAATCGCCAGAAGACTGTCCCAGATTCTCCCTATTATGAACTTGGCGGGAAATGGAAAGTGTGGAAAAAATCGAGTCTTGAACAAAAATTTAACAGCATTTATACAGCAACATTGATGCACACGAGCGTATGCTGCGACGTTCTCAATAGACGATCGGGGATTTTACTTTTTCGCGACCATCCCAGATTTTGCCTATGTATCGGATAATCGCCAGAAGACTGTCCCAGATTCTCCCTATTATGAACTTGGCGGAAAATGGAAAGTGTGGAAAAAATCGAGTCTTGAACAAAAATGTAACAGCATTTATACAGCAACATTGATGCACACAAGCTTATGCTGCGTCGTTCTCAATACATCTTTGTTCTTGCACCCGTCAATGCAAGGTTTTCCATTCTGAAAAAGCAGAGGCCAACTAAAAATACCATATCATTCTTCTTCCTTCTTGGGCAAGAGATTGGAGATAGCAATGACTCGAATTTTCGAGAAACACCATGTTTATTTGTGTTTATTTAGGATAGGGGGACTGGAGCCCAGCAAATAGGAGATTGGTAATGTGCGAAATCCATCGCCGACGTCCCCGATGGAAAAATGTGAATTTCATTTGTCGGGAATGATCGCCGACTATCGCAGAAATCTGGGACGCGTTGGGAAAATGGGAACGCTGTCGATTCTCCAGATTTTTTCCCGTCCATCCCAGACGATCGGGAATATCTAAAATTTCTAGTTTTCATTAGTCGGCAAAATCTGGGACAGTCGGGAAACAGTAAAATCCCTGATTGTCTTGTATTTTCCCGACATATATAAACTAGGCTAAGGAAAAAGAGTAAGTGAAGAAGCAGCGCTTTGAATAGAGTTAATTAATAAGTTTTCTTTTGGCTGAAGCAGCTGAGCTCACTCTCTGGGAAGGAGTTTCCTTTTTTCCTTATATTATTACTTTTTTGTTTTTACATAACAACATCAGATATATTGCTTCAAATCAATTACAGCATCAAAATGAGGTAAGTTCTTGACACTGTGGCTTTCGAACTTAATTTTTTGCTATCCACACTCGCAAGGTTAAGTACATACATCCTTTTCTAAGCTTTTCATGAAATGCTGAAGTAAGCTGGGAACCGGAATCTTTCTCGAGTAGCTTTTTTACTTTGTTCAGATGTCGTCGGGGTTTTTTAAAAAAAGTTGGTCGTAAGTACGCCTTCTGATTCACTTTAGTTAACAAAGCCTTTAATTTATTCCCTGGGTAGGTTGTAGCCAGCGAACAGGCTCCCCTTTTAACCGGAGAGAAAAAGAAAATCGGCAAACGAAAGCAAGCCTAGCGTAGGTTGGGGGAGAAAAAAGGGGGGGAACCGTTCAACTTTGTTTATATCATGATCTGATTGAACAGATCGCTGACTGTTGACAAGTGAGTGATGAATGTTGACCAAAAATACCCTTTCGATTTCTTAATGTTTAATGCAAATTTCCTTTGGTGGAATAGAATCTTCATTTTTAAACAAAGCTATTGTCTACATTTGAGGGATCTTAATAGTCGATATTCGATGGATGCATTTAATATTTACATATAATTGATTAATCCACAAAACTGCCTATACAGTCCATGTCTACATTGCTTGCAGTTCAATAGGTTGGTCCCGCCTTACTGGACACGAAGTGTTTTTGCAGAAAACCTCCTTCAAAGGTCTCCTGAATCCTGGCAATCTAATTGCGTAGATCACTGGATTCAATATAGAATTAAGGTGATAAAATGTTGATGCTATCTTCATAGGTGTGAACTTAATCCATAAGAAACGGTCTGAACTTATCGAGATACACATAATTATTGCCCAGGGAAGAAGAGTAAGTGTGGATGCAGCACTAACTATGAATAAAGTTACTGAAAGTTTTCTTTCTGCTGACATAACTGACCCTAACTGCTGGACATGAGGTTTTCTAATAAATTTTGACATAATTATAACATAAGATGTTATTAGTACTGCAAGGGTAAGACAATATAAATTACCCAGGGGTATCGATCTGTAACATGCTTTTTGTATTGTTCTTGTAATTCTGTAGTTTTGAGAACCCTCTGACGAAAAAGAAGTTGAACGCCAAAACCGTTCTTCAACTGTGTATCAACCCTGATAGCTATCAGGTTGGAACACAGACGATTGCTGCTACCTTTGAGATTGACCCTAAGTTTAGCAACCAGGAGATTGAGTGGTCTACCAAGCAACGTGGATCCATCATTCTGTATGGACTTCTGGTTAAACTCGATGAAACTGATTGAATTTCAAATAATTATTGTAAGGCTATTTCGCCAATAATTTTCAGTTTTTCTTTTAAAAGGGCAGCAACTCTGTACTTTTGATCACTTCGTATTCAGGAACGGACTGAGGATTTTGTGATAGAGGGGGCCTAGAGATATATTATACAGTGGCAATATATAGTCGTGATAGCGCCCATCAGGACTGCGAACGGCGCACTTTTCTAGGGAGTTTCCGGCGCACGCTCCTCCCGGAAAACATCTGTGATTGAAGTTCTCTGATATGCAATCCAGTGCATAAATCTAGCAAATGCCTGGATTCCCTATCGAACATGTAATGCCGAAATATTTAATAAACCACAAAAGCGGGGACCGGGGCTACCCGCGGCCCACCCCTAAATCTGCCCTTGGTATTTATACTCAAAGAATGTCGATACATTCTCTAGTAGTGTAAGATTAATGGCGAAAAAACGACGATTTTTAATATTCGTTTAGCACTATCGATTTGCATAGGAAGTTTTGCTTTGGACTTACAGGATCCCTTATCAAAATTTCAAAAGTCAGTTTTCTTAGTTAAGATCTTGCATATTTTACCAAAAGTAGTCCAAAGGCATCGTCCTTTGCATCAAGTGAAGGTAAAAAAAAAAAAAAAGAATAAACAAACAAATAAACAAATAAAAAGCGTCAACGACGTACAGCAACAAATTTCGTTCACTCTTGAAGCTGTACCAGCAGAAGGTCATAGAAGTGGGCGTTGAAAGATGGTAATTTCGGGTCTAAGTGCAAGGTGGCAAGAATTTCAGTATTGGCAGACATTCCAGAACTTGTCATTCCCCTGAAATCTCAAGTCATTTAAGGCATGGGCCCCTAGTTATTTAGTGAAAATGTGAGGGGGTAGTCACTTTTTTTCTTTGTCCTTCATGTTTCTATTGATTGCACAGCTGTAAGTTCATAAGCTATATTATCATTTCTTTGCTTGGCAATGTTAAGATATTTTAGAAGAAAGGTCTGATAATAATCGCCATGATGGATATGTTAACAGAAATGCCGATCCCCCTGACTGTCCGTTTACAGGAGTGTCCGTCAGGAAAGGAGAGCAGGAGAAAACGTGCAACATTATCAAGTGATCCTTAGCTATGTTGTAATTTTAACACGAATTCTTCATATAGATCTTTTATTTCGCTAGATAGGTGTGTAACTTCGACTTTATCGACAGATTAGTCTTAATTGGCGCCCTTACGACAATCAATCTATACTCGCACGCGCAGCAAATAGACCCTTAAGTCTGCATCCTTGCAACAAGTTGTTTTTTTAATAAAAGCTTTGTAAATTAATGTGTTTGTCTTTCTCTGTTATTCTCTCTACCTTTCTGGAGAGCTGTTTCAAGATCGTGATACCGAGATACAATACAGATTTAGAATCACTTTCAAGGCAAATGAATAACCTTAATTTGCACCAAACGACTAAGCTTTACTTTCAATGGCCATCCACCGTTCACTATATCTACACAAAATTAGTAGCTTTTGCCAGTTCCATTCATTAGAATTATTTAGGACCGTTTGTTTCAGTTGTCGACTGGAATCTTACATTTCCTATAAATAATGGTAAGGAATGAGTGGAGTCCATTTCGGTCTGTAATCTTACGAGTGATCAATTAACAAAATCAGCGGACGACTGCATAGAGGGAGTCCGATTTGTTTAATCACCAGCGTTATTACAGACCAAATGAGACGACACGAAGCTTTCTGTTACCAATTAATCATAACATAACTATAACGAAACTTTGTGACAATTCAACCTTTTCTTAAATTAGAACACAGGATACTCCACTCAAGTGAGCGCCCGCGATGGCGCATAGTGTCCAATCAGATTTAAGATTTTATTATTATTATTATTATAATTTTTTTTTTTTACAGTTATAATTAGTCTCTAAATTCTAAGAAAACATATTGTAACTAAAACAGCAGGCAGTAAAACTATCAATAAACACCCATTTAACAATTCCCTAGAATTTCATTTCAAAACGGGTTCAAAGAGGCCCCTAACCCTTGGGTCTCTTTTTTAGTGATGTTTACCGCCCACTACATTTCTAGAAGGTCAGTGGGTAGGGCCCGTCCTGTAGATGAAGTATTTTTGCAGAAAAGCCCTTTCAAAGCTCTCCTGAACTGTCGTAATCTAATGGCATAAATGAGTGGATTCAAGACCGAGTTTAGGTAATAAATCGCAAGTATAAAGGTTGTAACATTTATGAATGGTAATAATTGAATCCTCAAGTAACCTAAACGTAGAGAAACACAACTTGTTATTGCCCATGGAAGAAGAGTAGCTATAGAGGCTGCGGTGACTGTTAATAATGTTATGGAAAGGTTCCTCTCCACTAGAATAACTGAGCTAAACCGCTGGGCATAAGGCTTGCTTAAAACCTTTGATAAAATGATAACATATGCTGCTGTAAGAAGTGTAACGGTAACGAAAGTATAGCTTACCCATGCACCTCGAGATGCAACCGGTTCATTTATTTCAAGAATGACAAATACAGAGCTAAAATGAAGGACCCAAACCAACTGCAAAAGATAATCTTACAGTAAACACGTTTCCCGACCAAGCAATGGTTAAATGGATAAAGTGTGGCGTGCAGTCGCTCTAAAGAAATTAATGCTAGATTGCCTACTGAAACTATATAAAAGCTGTCAATGATCGCCCTCCAACAGTTTCGCCAACTGAGACCATGTTGCGGTCCTTGTAGACCATTTTGGTACACAGGTCCCGCCACAGCTCCAACCAGAAAATCAGCCACAGTTTGGTTTATTACTATGTATGTACTGCGCTTGCGTAGACGGCGACTTCTCGCAAAAGCGACAACCGTTAAGGTGTTGATTATAGATATAAAACAAAATTCTGTAGTCAGCACTGCAAACCGGATATCCTCTACTTCGTCAGGCATCCTTTGATTAAAGGGGCATTCTTGTCAACCTTGCGCTTGTAACATTTGATTGTTTCCAAATGGAACCTTCGACAAAAACAAAATAAGTTCGAGTCTAGGTATCCAACGGCAAAAGTTTCTGACCCGCTTGCTCTCATTATCGTGTTGGCTCGGCTCTTGCCTTTAAAATTTTTGTTGTGTTTGTATGAGAAGCCAGGCTGACGAGATCCCATTGGCTCGAAACGAGATCTCAACTAGTGGGTTAGCCCGTCCTCTATGCAACACAACGACTATATTTGACGAGGAAACAAGGAGTGAGCCGAGCCATCGCAGTAAAGGCAGGAAAAAGGAAAGTAAACTCCCGATTTTCCTTGAATTCTCACAAGGAAAATTAGGATGGGAAGCAGATGGAGAATACTGAACTTTCCATGATTTGCCGTTTCGTAAAATTATTGGTAAATGAGGTCAAATTTCTTGCCGTGAAAACTGGTTGACTTGTAACTTGCGCCAAAAGTAATTCATATCCGGAGGATCATCTGCAAATGTAAACATGTGTGTAACGTAAATATGTTTCATGCATCTTGTTGATGCCAGTTTCAACGCAATCCCCATTTTAAGCGACTTTATGCCAGTCCAAAATCTAACTTTTCTCAGTTTTGAAGGCATCTTTTGACAGAACCTTTACCTGATATTCTGACGGATTTCTTAATTCTGTTTTTAAAATCCCGTGTTGACAATCTTGAAGAAGGATATACTATTTACGCAGGTGTTCTGTATTTGCATAATGGCTTCTTGCAGTGAAATTAAAGATTTCGAGGTTTCCTTTCCTCCACATTGTGAAACCCAAAGGAAACGGAATATAAAGCTGAAGATATCAATAGGGAACTCGCTCACCCGTTATTCGACGTTTAATACATAAAGTCTTATGACGGTGTCAAAGGTCGGTGCGCGACTTGTAGGAAACCAATGTCACGATATCATGCATGGAATCATAGTCGCTGTATAAAACAATTGCCAAAATTGCCGTTAACTTTAAAAATAACATAGAGGCAGTGACTTTTGTTTATTACCAAACTAAATGTCACTTGCACTTATAATTTTAGACGCATTTTAAACAAAAGTAATACGTCTTTTTGTACGGTACTTTCTCACAGTATCAATATGGCGGTCGTCTAAAAATCCGCCAATTAGCAAACTTCGGGGAGGTCGTATCAAGATCCCAAGGAAATGAAAAGAGGACATAAAACATCTATCTTAAGCTGTAGAGAAAGCTTATTCTGAAGATTTATTTTGGAGAACCGGCCGGATTTTTAGGCAGGTCTTTTATATCACTTCAGAGCCATTCAGAAAAGGCAACGAAGTGCGTTCAACGAAAAACTCTCCACGGGTCTTATAAAGTAAATAATCTGTCAATATAAACAATATTTAATTTACCAAGGGGCAAGCTATTTCTTCAAGGTAAGAAATCAGTTACAGGCGTTATCCCGCTAACTTGAGAGAGTCACGAACATAGTGAAATTTCGGTTCATCAAAGAGGTCATTTTGGTTCAAAACGGACCCAACCGATTTTATTTAATTCTCCTAATAAACGCAAAAATTAGACCAAACTAGCCCTCTTTTGCTAACTACGATACAATACTCTATCAACGTAAAACGAATTTTGAGCTGTGTCCGCGATTTTGAAATTATCTCCGATTCTTACTGACATTGACTCTTGAATTCACAGCTGCCTTAAGTTTTATTTTCTTCTGAAATTAAAAAAATAAATAAATAAATAAAAATAAAACAGTTACTTACATTTTGTTTCTCTTAAAGGTGCAAGTGATGACTAGGAACAGATTGTATAACTCGGTCTGTAATACTCCTCACTCAGTTATAACACCTTGCAAGCTCAAAGCATATAAAATTTAACAAAAACGCATCGATAGGAATATATACCCTCAATGAGCTCCGGCCTTTAGATGAGATCATTAAAGGTTTGTCATGTTTACCACTAAGATCATTAAAAGTTTGTAATGTTTACCACTACAGAATGATCAGAATGGTATTAAATATGGTAATAATTTTTAATAATAATTTTCAATCAAAATATGTTCTATTTATCCACTGAAGATATTCTTACTCCAAAGCAATATGGCTTCCGCCCTGCTAGTAACACTACTGATTGTTTTATTAGTAGATTTAATAGAAGAAATTACCGCCACTCTTGACAAAGGAGACTATGCAGTTTCCATATTTTTAGACTTAAGCAAAGACTTTGATACTGTAAATCACCAAATTTTATTAAACAAGTTGTAAAATAACTTATTAGAGAAGAGTAAATCGAGAAAATAATTGGTTTCGACATGGATAATAGAAAGACTGGATAGGAAACTTATGTCACGTAGGCTGATTTCTTATCGCGGATTGGTTGGTTCGTGCTCCAAGATGGCGTTGGATGGTTCCATCATAGTGGAGATTTGTGGCGAAACGATGGCGAAAATGTGGCGCAAACCAGTCGAAATGTAGGGTTTCTTTACCTACATGTTGTTCTTTTTCGGATTTTTTAGTGGTACTTTAATTTTTGGTGGGTGTTTTTTCTTTCGTTTGTTGTCTTACGACGATGGCGATCCTTCAAAGCCACACTTGAACCTTCAAGGTAAGCACTTCTTGTTGTTGTTTTGTGTTATTTGTCCTTGTCTTTGAGAAAATTGCGTCCCAAAAATTGACTTTACCACAGCCATATTTAGTACACTTGGCAACTGTTTTGGGACGCCTTTGTTATGAAGGTTTCTTCTTGTTTCTATTCTTAACTACGATTGACAGATGTTTGAAGGATGGAATTGTGGCATAGGCATAGTTACAGACTGAATGCTAGCTGCTATTTTTCAGTCATAAATTTCATTTGAAAATGGCTGAAACTAACTACGTTCGGAGCTGGCGCCGAGCAAGTGTACGCACACGGTGTGTAAAGTTCCAATCGACCGACAGGTTTGTGTTTAGAACTGTTTCGCTCAAGTATTGTTCGTGAAGCAGTATAAAATGTTAATTTCGCTCATCTTTTAATGTTGAAATAAAACTACTATATTACATATCCAGTGAATACAATCGCCTCACGTCGCTCCTCGCAGCTTGTATTCGAAGGCACTGAAGAGACTCGAATAAATTTTGTACTTTTCCCTTACATAAACTATAAATAATTGTTGCATCAATGGGAAAACACCTACTGACATTTTAAGTGTTGTTGTTATTTTTTAAACAGTGTTTTAAATTTCCTTTTGTTTTTCTTTCTTGTAGGATTTGCTGAACACACATAGTCAATGAAGACAGTAAAATTGTGGTCAAGTACTCTTCTGAGAGGTCACAAATCAATCAATCTTTCTGTATTAAACAGCAACAAAGTTGCTTTTGTCATGCATGAGAGCCAGAAGGTGGCATCTAAATTATTTATGATCAGAAACTTTATTTATCACTTCTGAAGTGTATTTATTATTTCTTTGTGATTAACTGTGTTTGAGGGTCAATGCTTGTATTAGCTACAGAGTCATGTGTTTAAGTTGGTTAGTGTTCTTCCCGGAAACGGTGTATATCTGAATCACATTGTTTTTCAAAGCAAAGATGGACTTGTTTAGCACTATTATTGCATTCCGTTTTTTAGAGATCCAAAGCAACAATGTACCTGTAGATGATAAACCTTACCAAGGTATATTTTACTCAAAAACTTAAACTTTGTTTCATCCCAAAAAAGGTCAGTATTTCAAAGATAATACATTTCTAGGTTTTATTAAGCCTTATGGAAGACAAGTGTTTCCTAATGAAAAAGAAGTGAAGGTTAACAATTAACCGTTGTACATATCATTTTTAAAAGCGTTGCAGTTCGCTTTTTCAAAGACCTGACTGAAAAGTACGTTGGATCACTGTTCATTTATACCTGAAAATTACAAAACAACTTGCTTCACAATGAAAATTGATTTGAAAAAGTTTAGAAACGGCGTTTCCATGGTGGTCCGCAAGCAAATTTCCTTTCTCTGCTGTGAGCTTTTCCCGCTTTTTTATATTTCTCAAATATGACTTCTTGACAATGGTTGTCCGTAAATAAAATTGAGGGGAAAATTAAACGCTTGTTTGAGCTAGGTACTTTTACCGCTAATAAAATCATTTTGTCAAGGGTTGTTAACTTATAAAATTTGACACTCGCTGAGCTTGTCGATAAAAGCAGAAAAGAAATCGTGAAAATCGTGATAAAAAGGGTTAAAATTATTTCCGGTTTTCTTGTGGTTTGAAGAAAATTAGGTTCTGCCTTTTTTATAGGTATTTTGTTGCCGTATACATGTAAATTTTCGCATACTTTTTATTTAGTTAGGTATTCCCGTTTGGTGCATAAAATTATCGGGCGCTGGAGTCATTCGTCGCTCTTACAAGTTTCATAATCATTTACTCTGTCTTTTGGCTCTATCCGTTTTGTACCCTCTAAATGGTAATAAAATCCATTGGCTATCCTGTACGGTGTGAATTCAGTCCATTTGTCACGGTCTGAACTTATCAAAATACAAGTAACTATTGCAAAGGGAAGAACAGTAATTGTAGAGGCAGCACTAACTATGAATAAAGTTACTGAAAGTTTTCTTTCGGCTAAGATGACTGACCCTAACTGCTGGACATGAGGTTTTCTAATAAATCTTGAAATAATTATAGCATAAGATGTTGTTAGCACTGCTACAGTAAGAAAAGTATAAATTGTCCAGGGGTATCGATCTGCGAGGGATGAATCATTCATGCGACTGACTTGTAGACCACATGCTAGAGTCAAAGCTCCGAACCAACTAAAAATGATAATCTTATAGTAAGTGCGTTTCCCAACTAAGCAATGCCTAAATGGATATAGTGTTGCGTGTAATCGCTCTAAAGAAATTAAAACTAGGTTACCCAGTGAAGCTATCCAACACATATCAGAGATTATTAAATATAAGACCCCGAGGCCTCTTTTCGGTCTTTTGTTTGGTATAAAAAACAGAATGGCTTCAGGTCCTGAAACGGCTGCTATCAGTAAATCAGCAACAGTTAGGTTCATTATCAAGTACGTGTTGCGCCTGCGTAGATAGCGGCTCCTTGCAAAGACGACGAGAGTGAAGGCGTTGATTATAAACACCATCATAAGCTGAGTAATGCACACTGCAATCCAGATGTCCATTGTCGCTTTAATAGATATCCTTTAAACGATTATTTCAGTACTGTTTTCCTTTCTATTTAAATAGGATCTGGAATAAGAAAAAATAATGATAATGAATTATTACAGAATAAGTACAGAAATAAAATATATAAGCAAAGGTCTAGTTATACAGAAACAAGTAAATAATAACGTGGCTAAGAACGAACAACGTTTCGGTATCATCTTGACGACATTTTCAAGTTCAAAATGATTGTTGATAAACTGAAAAAAAGAAGTTTGGCTAATGATTAGCAAAAATGAAACATACAAAGTCGCACGCTGAAAAGTTTTGCTCGATTTGAGTCCGATCGGACATTTAGAGAAAGTGTTCTAATGTTCTTGACAAACAGTTCCCTGTCCTTAAGGTGGCTCGATATAGTTATTCATAACTATTCTTGAGATTAACCGTTTTTTTATATGACCTTTTAGTTTCAAGATTATTGAAATATTTTAAGGCAGTAAAATAAGGGCTACAATTCGCTAATATTGTCAGAAATTTGGTTTTTACAACTGAGAGCCCTCATTATTCAGGGTATTGTCTCCAAGTTTCATATTTTCGTGTACAACAATAGCTAGCATTTTTGCATTTCTTAGATGCATTGTTAGTTACTGTTGTTCACGTAAAAATTAAACTTGGAGACAATACCCTTGAATAATAAGAGGCTTTCACTTGTAAACAGGAAACTTCCGGTAAAAAATTAGCGAATCGTAGCCCTTATTTTACTGCCTTTCAATATATCAATAATACTGAGACTGAAACGTCTCCTAAAACGACGTTTCATCGGCAAGAAACTCAATTTTTTCAAAAAATTCCATCTAGCGATTTAAAAATTATTTGCCAATTTGTTAAAGTAAACCTAAATGTTAACAAACCGCTAGCAAGAGCGCTTCGATACATAATAATTAAATCCTTCTTTCTAGCAATCGACTTGACCTATCTCTACGATCTTTCACACACATTTTTAAAGAGATTGTAACTACTATGAGGTCAAAATGCATGTCAGAAGCGCTTTGTTTTCTGCTGATAACGGCCAAACTACAGGATTAACCATTTTTTACTGTTCTGTTCTGTTTCTAATCATGAAAACTTCATCCCAAAATATCTCGATAACGCTCTTAAGGACGTTCGCAACGGCTACCAGCCCTATATGTGCTTAGACAGTTTTCTCAGCGCGCGCGCCTCGATGCATGAAGTGGTGTGATATTGCGCTATGAACTACGTGCGCAGTAGGGATGCGCAGAAACAATTAGCGCGAACGCCCTTAAAGATTTCACTTAAATCTCACGAACATCGATGCTGCTATCATTGGAAAAAGCTCCCTTGAATGATTTTGGAAAACAGTTCCCAGTGCCGAAAAATACTGCTGCACGTAAAATAGGTAATGTTGTCATTCCGTTGCTATGACAACTGCGATTTCATTGAAACCCTCATCAAAACAAGAGTTCATCTTTATATAATACAACTGTGCTCACCCCTGGCAATTTTTCCAAATCTTTGTTTATAGCAGTGAGTTTATTCTCAAACGTAGGAGATATTGACCTTGAATCTGACTGCACCGAGCCACAAGTTGGATTGTTTTTTGCACGAAATGTTGCTAATTAGGGACAGTTTATTCATAAAATCAAATTTGCAAGAACCTTTAAAAATGTTTTCTCATTGCGAGATTTGGGTCTAGAAAATATTTTTTCTGTTATTATTAAGAGACTGCTGATTTTTATTTTTATTTTTTCAATTCCGACATTTAGAGGTGCTTTTTTCTGTATTTATAATGGTTGTTTAAATTAGCCATGATGATACTTTAATCTTGACTTGCCTGGTAATATTCATCATGTCTTTCAAACCCTTGGCGATCAATCTCCAGTATACCCTCCTAATCAAAAGAACGTTTTATCTATGTAAAAGCTATTGGTGAACTAAGTAAATGCTAGAACAGCCAAGAATATTGCACCTTCAACCAGCAATCGAGGCATCAAGAATATATCACTAACGTACGGCAAAGGCGGAAACGACCAATAGGAGCTTTCTTTATGTTATTTTTATGTCGGAAAAAACACCTATGGGGACAGTTTAAAATCGTTTTTTAGGGAAGTAAAGTCTCACCCTTTCCTGATAAGATTATTTGGGGTGTATTAATGCATCCTGACACACCTAATAATAATAATATATTGAGTGACAAGAAGGGAGTTTTGCTGGGTTTCAAATCACGTGTCTAATCATGTACCCGAGACGTTTTTAGTGATATTCATACACACTCTATGCAAACCGTTTTTTACAAAACGAGGCCGAATTTTGTAAGTCACAAAGCTAACAAACTATAATTTAAGTGAGTCCATGAGAAATGAGCGGAGATCAAGAGAAGATAAAGGGGACAGAGAAGGCATCCCCCATACACACCCTGTTCCATAGGTAATTAGTCTGGAGTTATTTTTAGAATCGGGACAAAGTTACCTCGCGCGCTGAGTGGATGTTTCGTGGAGGTTCCGCATGACTAAACGCCGTGCAAAACATGTCGGGCGAAAGACAATGAAAGCGTAAAGAGATCGAGAGCATTTCTGAATATTGAAGCGAAATGAGTCGGTGTTCACCTAGGAAAAGGGAATCGCTAGACTCTTTAACAATCCGTGATATCAGTTTAACTCGAAGTTCTCGTACCCTCAGTGCTTTAATAAAATGAGAAATTTCGCCGGTCTATTGAAACCGGTCGTTTGTATAATAAAGCAAGTAGGACGCCAAGTGTTATTTTTGTTGAATAATAAAAGACTAATAAAAGAATAAATATCAAATCAAAAATTTCTCTCCTCAAACTGGAAATTATAGATGATCCTGAGAGAATATTCAGTGTGTTAAGGATTTCCCTGCTGTACTGTAAGCTCTATACAAGAGAGGAAGGGCGATTCTTTTTTAATTTCCGTTTCGCTGACACAGCTTTAGCAGAAATCTCTCTTTAGTCGTTTTCGTCGACAAAACAAATAGCAATATCGCTCTCCGCGTCTTCTGCCATTTGTTTCTGCGTTAATTCGTGAAGGACGCGTGGCTAGCTCTGAGCGTGGGTCATCCACGCGGAACACATTAGCGCTATGTGATTGGCTGTTGTGTAACCCCCATTGGGATCTATGGTCTTAAAAATAACTCGAGACGAATTACCTATGGAATAGGGTGTGTATACGGGATGCCTTCTTTGTCCCCTTTATCCCCTCTTTGCGGAGATATAAGCATTATTCGTAAGTTACATGCTTGATGACGAGATCACCTTTAATTTTAAGGGTAGCATAATATATTGTTATCCAAGCAAGTTGAAACAGTCTCAAAACGTTTATTTTAAAGTGAAAGGGAATTGTTACGATATGACGCCATTTTTTATACAATGTGCGAAACTGTTTTATAAATTTCAATTTTACTACAAAGCTTAAGTGCGATGTTTCATTAAAGTTGAGGCATGCAGCACACGCCGATTTCGAAAATGGATGGTTGCGTTGCGGACAGCCGCTTCTGTACCAGCCTTTTAGTGGCAGTATGAACATGCAACAGTTGTTCGTACCATCGATCCCGGAGTATAAATTTTTTCATGTCGGTACATTGTAAGCTATATGATATTTTTAATAGTAATGTAGATTAGCCTCACTTTCTCTACCGACATCGCCGAGCACAATAACTGTTAAACCGATTCCCTTATCAAGACACGAACCAACGCATGCACATGATTTGATTCTCCCTTTACCTTGTTTTACTTACCTAAAGCATTTTTTTGGAAACCCTGAACGAAAACATTTAGACGAAATTGAAATGTGCACCCATAATATCATAGCCAGCCTCCCTTTTTTAAGAAAATTCTCTTGCGACAAAAAAATAACAGCTGTATTTTCATTTGAACGAGATAAAGGAGAGAAAGCGAGTAAATTAAATCAAACTTACCAATAGTCATTCTTCTACCTTTTTCTCCACTTCAGATCAGAAAGGTTTGAACGATCACACTTAAAACAGTCTTGAAATACTCTGCCGGCATAAAGCGGACGCATTCGGTTGAATCGGTTGATAAACATTAGATGGCGTTTAGATGAGGCCATTAAAAGTTGGTGGTAATTGCGCCTACAGATCGATTAGAATAGTATTAAATGTGGTAATAAACCGATTTTCCGTTTTTATTAGTTACAGGCCTTATGCCGGATGGCAGTCGGTTTGACTTGTTTTGTCAGTCATTTGCATTAGTATGCAAACTCAAAATGAGACATTGAGGGGTGAATTGGAGAGCATGGTTTATAGCTACATGAATAACAGCAACAATAACAAGGAAAAAGTGTGGTTTGAATTTATCCTCATTTACTTTCAATTTTCTTTTGTTCTTAGGTATTTTAATCTATGCCAAAAAAGAATAAGGCTTAATAAAAACTGTTTGTCCAGAAATAAATAAATAATATGGCTTACTATGTTTTGTAGCATTTAAATGGCCTGTCTGAAGACAATAAGTCTCAAATGGGAAAAGTCAATAGAAAATGCCTACAGATCGATTAAAATGGTATTTAATGTGATAAAAAGCCTCCGTATTTTCTTTTGTTAGTAGTTACAGGACTTCTGTCGGATAGTCTGTCGGATAGTAGTTGTTTGACATGTTTTATTATTCATTTGCTTTAAGTAGAGGGGGTTATTGGAGGGCATGGTTTATGGCTACATGTATAACGGACAATAAAGGAAAAAAATAGAGTGGTTTGAATTTATCCTCCAGTTACTTTTTAAATTTTGAAAAAAAAAATATATTGCTTAATAAAAAACAGTTTGCGCGTAAATAAATATATCGATGAATTAATCAACAATATTGACGAAGCTTACCAGTTTTAAAACATTTAAATGGCCAGCTGCCTGAAGGCCACAAGTCTTAAACAAGTCAACAAACAAAACTTACAAAGTTCTGCATAAGAAACCGTCAGTTTTGAAGCGTTTTGGCCCTACTGCTGTACATTTTCTGAGGAGTTGCTTTTTATAAAGC